CTTTATTATTCTTTCTTCTTTCTTCTTCTTTCATCTTCTTTCTTCTTCGTCCTTCTTCTTATTCTTTTTTTTCTTCTTTCTTCTTCTTATTTCTTATTTCTTCTTTTTATTTCTTCTTTCTTATTCTTTCTTCTTCTTATTTCTTCTTTCTTCTTCTTGCATCTTTTTTCTTCTTATCATTTCTACTTTCTTCTTCTTTCTTCTTCTTCCTCTTCTTTCTTCTTTTTTATTCTTCTTATTCATTTTGTTTCTTCTTTCTTCTCTTCCTAAATATTCTCTCTTCCCTTTACTTAGCAATTTTTTCTTCCAATTTTCCCTATTTTTTATACTTTTTTGTTTATTTTTGTTTTAGACTTTTTTCTTTTCCCGTATCAAGGAAGATACACCTGAAACCCCCATATTTTTGTTTGAATAATAGTGTACTGTAGTTTGAAGAAGGAATGTAAACTACTCAAACAAGTTAAGATTGTTAATATTCTTTCCAGAAATCACTTTAATGCAAATAGATTCTAGTACAAAAGCTGGCAACTTAGAATTTGTACACTCTCAGTACACTTTCAGTACACTCTCAGTCAGTACACTCTGAGTACACTCTCAGTACAGCTGTATTCTTACGTCACAATTGTCGGGTTAGTTTTTGTGTCCGACAAAATTATTAAATATTAAAACAAATTCTCCATTTAAATATTTTCAGAAATCAACCCCGAGTGCTGTAATATACAAATTGACCTTTGGAGGAAGTGAATTACATGGCCTGTACAATAAGTAAAGGATTAGCGTACATCATTACTCTATATACTATAACCATAGAGAATAGAATACATATTAGAGTGGAATTTAAACAATCCCTCGGTATGAATTTTTTCAGTCCCTTCCAGCCTGAAAGGGAGTTCAAAGTGTACAAATCTTGTAAATGTTCACAAATTATATTCAGTAGAGTGCATTAATACAGTATGTTCCCTAGACTATCCATTTCAATTTCGAATTTTTAAAATAAACTTTATAAAATGAATTAGGTGCATAAAAACATCATTTGATTTCGAGTTATAACGGAAAATCATCGTTTGTAAAGTGAAAGGCAAAGAGTCTATGTGAAATGATCATTGGTCGATTACAAAACCAGCCTATTTCATAATTTTTTTTTCTTTTAATATTAATTTGATATTTTCTATAAAATGATGTTCCAGGGCCCAAAAGGTTATATAGCGCAAATATGTGAAGTACACCTGCAGTATGGAAACAGTACAACAAAATGGTCGTTTTACACTATTTTCTAGTAAATTCCACTCTAATATATATTCTATTCTCTTTGACTATAACCTCGTTGTAAGTACACTAATTTATGAATATGACAGGAACCAAGAATAATTAACCAGTACTTCTAATTGTACCTATTCATCTTCACGTTCTATTATTGTAAGAAAACGTGATGGTTTTTTTCCGCATTATACAAAATATTGGTTTACTTCCTGTTCTTCTTAATTACGATGTTTCGCCATGTCGCGTATAAGTCTCCTAAAAGAGACGTAATTTCTGTGGTGTCTGTATAAAGGACGAGTTACTTTTACGTGACCCTTCAAACCTTTGTTAAAGCAGAATAATTATATATTATATTATAAAGAGATTAAAGATGATTTATATATATATTTTTAAGACAGGAAAACGATTAAATAATCTTTAAACAGTAACGGGCCAAAGGGTACCGATATAAATCGTACATGTGTAACAGCTCAAAGGAACAAAAATTCGATAGCCGGACGTTTCACCTTCTTGGCGGCAAATGCTTGATTTTACAGTTCTGGTAACTTGCTGAAACTAACATATTTTATGTTGGGATAGGGTTTGCCGAGACTTGCATATTTAAAAAAAATTCCACTTATAAAAGTTATTTCTATAGAAATCTAAAATTTTAAAAAGATTGAATCACAGAATCACAGAAAATTCGCAAAATTGAAATAGGAAAATTCGGAATTTTTAGTTCTGGTCTAATTTTTAAGGAAAAGTTATTTAAATTCTCTAGTTCTTTTCTTCTTAGTATATTCTTAAGCATTAAATATACGCTGTTGAGTTGAAACCTGAGAACCAATGAAAAACAATTTTTCCGTAAAGATTAGACCAGAACTGAAAATTGCGAATTTTCTTATTAGAATTTTGCTAATTTTCTGCGATTAACAATTTTGCACCAGGCGCCGCAAATCACACTTTTTTTTGACTCACTCTGTATCTATTTATCTATCTATATCACGCAAATCTGCCCCTTTAGTAAAAGTAAATTAAACCTATATAAAGCACAAAGTCTGACCGCGTCAACCTTGATGCACCGGCTAGTCCTGTCCATAGAGCTAGGTATAGTAAAAACTGGGACCGGAAAGGTTGACCCGGCTCGGAAATTCAAATGTACTACGGCTTCCCGTGATATAAATATATTTATATACATGTCTAACTATATATCAATATATCTAGCTATCTATCTATCTATATATCCTTGATGACTATTACTGTAAGGATCGTGAAAACACTGGGTGTCTTCTGCTGGGTTAGATTTCACCCTTGTTATCGTGCATTACTGGTCTCTTATACAAGTTATATATAATAGCTATCTATCTATATATCTATCTATCTATCTATCTAACTAAGATTCAGCTTCAAATTAAAATATTTTAATATATTTCAGGATTTTACTAGATACATGATGTTTCATGCCTTGCTAGAATCCTCAGTAGATTAACCCTGACTGAAAAAAAAATATTAAAATGGGTTCCCGGATAACATGTGTTTTCTAAAATATTATAAAGATATTTTTAAAAATAGAAACATAAATACAATATCCACGTGGATTTAACAGTTCTGTCAATATTCCAGAAAGCTGTGACTTTCGATCACAATTTGACCCCTCATACATAATTTTATAGCCTTTTTTCTTAAATACTTTTTGTTGACATTTACATTTTGAATGAAAAAGTATAAAATAAACAAACCTGTAAGTTTAAAGATTGTTGAAATATAGACCAAAATACGTATGATTTCATATAAAAGAAAACCGAATGCTTCTCACTCTGGTTAGTTGGGGGTGTATCAGGTTATTGATAAGAGTAAGAAATTTTTGTTATGTCTAACTTTCTATATATCTATTTATTTTCCTATTTATCTATATATCTATTAATATCTTTGTATTCATCAATTTACATATCTATCTCGTTTTCTCTCCTTATCTTTTATTTATTTTTCCATCTATCTATCTATCTATCTATCTATCTATCTATCTCCCCCCCTCTCCCTACACCTACCAATTCTGCCCCCCCCCCCAGGAGTAAAAACTCAGCCAGTGCATGCCTTATTTTCATGCATTGTAGTTTCATAACTCCGAAGCAAGCAGTATATCTTTATGCTACATTATCTGAAATGAAAAGGTTAAAGAAAGAAAGTGAAAGCTACGAGATGAAAGTGAAAATAATATTGCAATCGAGAAAACTGAATTCAGAATAAGCAAGAAAATTGGGGAAATTCTGTCGATTTAAAATGTCTTTGGAGCTTAATTCTTTGAAAATGGTTTGTTTTTCCTTTTTTAGATGTTGATCCTCGTCGTAATAAAAACAAAATAGGTAAATTAAGATTTCTAGCAAAATAATAACATTATCGGTTTTATTTATCCCCATCCTTCCTTTATTTCAACCTAAAATTAGAAGGTTTTGGTTGGTTTTCAAACTAGATGTTACCCCATCAGAGAATGAGATTTTAGAGTGAAGAAAAGTTCTCTTCTAATATAATAATTTTAAGATAAAATATTTTGCCTTGAAAATGGTTATTGATAGGTCCATTTAATCTTTACTTTGTCAGAGCCGGGGGATCTTAAACCTATTTTATTGGATTTTGAATAGAGATAAATTGTTGCTTGATTTGATACAAATCTCTAGATCTTGTAACGTTTACAAAATATCTATGCATGTAAACACAAATGATATTTTCTCTAAGCAATAAATCAGTCAAATCTGTCCTATTTCGTAGAACACCCAATACAAACTAAACAGAAGGAGAGGGGAAAATTTATTCGCCATCACTGGTACGACTTTGAGACTTTGCAGTCCTTTAGTTTTGATTTTACGCACACGTATGAGAAAAAGAATTTGATGCTAGAAAATCAAAACATTTGTTGTACTTCTCAATAATGCGCCGTTAATGATTTTTCAACAGTTAACGATTTGGGCTTTTCGCCCCGTTAATAATGTAATAGACCGTAAACGATTGGAGCCATTAACGATTGTTGAAAAATTTCCATCAATGAAACTGAGATCGTTAACTACGTCGTTTATGAATAAAAAATTAAAGTTTGAAAGCGAAAACGAAACGGATGGGTTTTTTGAAAAAATGTACTTTTCGTTCTTTTTTTCTGCTAAAATTTCATGCAAATTGCAACAACAAAATTTGTTTAATGTGTTTAAAAGTTTTTTTAATGTCTTTTTATATGATGAAACTTTTAAAGTTCTTTTTTGCAATTGGGTGACTCGTGTGCCTTTAATCCAAGTTTATAACCTTAAACGATTGTTGATAGAAATTTTAGAGTTTTGGCGTTAACGCCTTAATGCTACAAACAATTGTTATGGCTTGCACCGTTAACGATTCGACAAACCGTTAACGAACATAACTGAACAGCAATCCCGATAAATGGGAAAAAACAACCGTTAACGTCGGAATATTTTCCATTACGCCGTTTTTATTAATAAAATTGAGATCGTTAACTAACGGTAACTTTACAAAAAAAAAACGGAAAATACAGTTAATAAAAAAAACCTCAAAAAATCATACCTACCTGATTATTTTGTTTAACAGTTCGAACTAACCGTTAACAAAACTGCTAGAAAAAACAATATCAATCATAACCTGTAGTAATACACATAACAAGGACGACTTTTCTTTTATTCAGCTTTTTTCAGGTTCTAGGTAGGATTCTTGAAGAAACAGGGGCTTCCACAAAGGATGACATTTTCATGACGACCTGAAACCTGAAGACAAAATTTATTTTTAGCATTATTAATAGTTTTAAATGATATTTAATGATTTGACAATTGTTAAGAAATAAGTCTTTGAAGTCTTATCTACTGTGGGATACCGTGCATTCAAAATCTTCTCCCCGAACTAGCAAGCTGGTCATCACCAATTCCTAAATGATTGTGAGCCGAACAGAAGGAATAATACTCGAAAGAGGGAAATAAGGTGAATTGGCTAGGGAAACACTCTTTTCTACCGGCCTTACACAGATGAGAACAACTTCTTGAAAATGTATATATTTCAGTAACGAGGTTTCCTACAAAATACAAATTGTTATTGGCGTACATGCATATAAATAGTAATTGTTAATAAAGAAATTAAACAGTTGAGGGTTTTATCAATAAATGAGTATTGTTGTGAATCGAACCATTGGTTTAGAAACATGTACCATCGAGAATTGAACAAAGGCTTAAAAGGTATTGGAACTCTAGCTTTTGTAGGTTTAGCAGGTTTTGCAGGATTTGGAAACTCCAGGTTTTGCAGGTTTAGTGGATCATATTTTATTGCTGTTGTGAATCGATAAATAAAGGTTCAAAAGGTACTGTTGTGAATTGGCAGATAAAAGGTTTAAGATACTGTTGTGAATCAAGTATACGGAACTTACAATCTAGAAAACTGTGGCACGGCGAAAAGTTGTTTGAACTGAAGTCTAAAGCAATTTAATTCTTCTGAAATAAATATTTATCTGGTTAAAGTAATTTCACTGTTTATTTGTAAATGATTCACTGAAAATTATGTTTAAATTGGTTCTTTTAATTGCCCCCCCCCCTTAATCAGGCTAGGGGGGGGCCTGGCCCCTTCCTAGTTGCGCGCCTGGACTAATTTTACTGTTTATTTGTAAATGATTCACTGAAAATTATGTTTAAATTGGTTCTTTTAATGCACTTTGCTCCATGAGGTTTTTGTTTATATCTACGCGAAAGCCTTGGAAATGTTTGGTTTGGTAAGTGGACGGAGGGTCTAACGGAGGTACAGTTTGTCAGAGACGACCTTACAACAGGGTAATTTTAGGGGTATGGTTCACAATGATATTTAAGGGGCAGCTTGTCAACAACGATTCCTGTACATAGAATTCATCAGATTTTGAGAAATAGAAAAAATTATGATTTTTCATGGTAATATTGAAAATAATAATAATAATTCTAGTAAAACTAATACAATACAAAAACAATACAATAACAATAAAAGGAGCCAAAAATTCGCCACAAACTTATACTTTCTAATCCTTATATTTTTAATATGAAGCTGTAAAACATTAATATTCATATAATATCAAAATTCATGGAAATGCTATAGGCTTCTTAACACGTCAGTTTTGACATCAGGTTCCAGTATATATTTTTTTTTTATTTTTAACAAAGAGACTTCATTTTCATTTTAAGGTTCCTTAAAATGGAGAAAAGAAATCAACAATATAGATGTTAAGGTTAGAAATTAGAATTTGAGGAGGGTGTTCCGCATTATAAACTTTGCTAATTTTTTACTTTTTTAAAGGGAGTGTTCGCGAAAAATGAAAGAGGGTATAGGCTTAACGCGATAAAAAAGCGCTTTTGATCGCTACTAATAATTCAGAAAGATGCAAAATTCAACTCGGATCGTAAACAAATCAATTTAATTCCAAACAAATCGTTCAGATATTACATCGGTTATTTTTCGACGCATTTGTAAATAGTTGATATTTCATAATATTTTATATTTGTCTTGATCTGAGAGTTACTTTTGAAAACATTTATTCGTGTTTCGAGGATTTTTGATAATGCAGACGACATATTTTCATATTTTCCAGGAATGTTCGAAAATCCAGCGCCGGCGAAAATTATTTAAAAAAAACCAAAATCAAATAGATTATGAAATATTAACTATATACAAATGCATCGAAAAATAACCGATGACTATTGTTTGGAATATCTGAATGATTTGTTTGGAATTAAATTGATTTGTTTACGATCCGAGTTGAATGTTGCATCTTTCCGAATTTGTATGGACGCTGCGTTCTTCGGTGTGAGTAGTTTTTAACAATTTTTTCCTTATAGACGCAACAGATAGAAGTAAGATTAGTAGCGATCAAAAGCGCTTTTTATCGCATTACGCATTAAAAATACCCCCTTTCATTTTTCGCGAACACTCCCTTTAAAGCTAAGCTTTTTGACGTTTAGAGACAATAAAGTCAACAAATAAAACCAGTTCCAAGTCAAAGTAGAGGTTATGCCATTCGCATAGTATGAATAGTAGGTAAATGTTAAAATAAAAAAGTTGGAAATTTGTCTTCAATCTTTCAAAGGTGGAAGACGACATTTAAGAACGTATCAAAATAATTTTTGAAAAACAAATTACTTCGAGTTGCTTGTTTGTGTTTGAAAAATACTGAAAATAATAATAATAATAATGATAGTGATAATGAAAATTAATTATCATCAATTTTTAATCATTAAAAATTGACGAAATGAAATTGTGGATTAACAATAAAACAATATCCTGACAAAACCAAACTAAGAAGACTGATCAACACCTTTGCCATATTAACAAGGAAACCATAAACAAGACTGCCATTGTTTATATAAACAGTGGTACCCAGAAATCAGTGGACTGACTGATTGTTGTCTTCTTTCTTTTTTTACGAAAAGTTTGTAATTTGTAACTGATTTAAATCTTAAAATGTGTTCTGAACATTTGAAGTTATAACAATTAAAGTTCCTTGCATTTTTTATTCATAGTTATTTATGTATTAAAAACCATGATCTGGTGATATTTAATGAGTTTTGGTCGTCATGTCTCATTATATTTGGTTAACCCTGTATGTGTAAATCATTGAGTTTAAAACAAATTCAAATCCATTCTGTATCACCTGTATCAAAAACAATTCGAATTATTTTCTAGGAATTTTTTTCTACAATTTTGATGTTCCATAAACCTTCCCATGGGGTCATGTGATGCCCATGGGCCCGATCGGTTCAGCCGTTTACGTCACCGGTTTCACACAAACCAACAGTCTTTCCTTTCGGTATTATTTTGATTCGTAGCTACAAAACTTCTGATCAGAAATGTTCTCTTTATGAAGAAGGGTAAGCCTTTTTAGATTTTATTTTGTCTTAAGCTTTAGGTTAAAGGTATTTTTTTAAAATGCTTTTTTGTAAACTTGTCTTGATGCAAGGGTTATTTTAAAAAGGTTAATAACAAACCATAAATAAAAAGTATAAATAGGTTTATTCACAATGGCTCCCTTTAACCCCTTGACCATTATCATCGAGGACAGAGAACTCGGTGCGTTTATCTCTTAAAAGTATTGTAAAAAAACGTTGGAGCGTTGGTTAGCGTGCTGTTTGAGATCAACGCGGATGACATCACATGTATTCCTAGAAAATCTAGATTATTCTATGGAATTCACAAACCCGTCATCCTGGATCAGTCCAAGGTTTCAAAGGTTACGCTGTGAATCCTTAAAATTACGCTTACAGTCCCTTAAACATTTAGGTTTACAAGTTCTCTATTTAGGTCTCTTAAATAATATATTCATGATAATGGAGAAATTTTATTAAACATTAAACAAAATGAAAAGAATGTTTAAAGTGTCCTGTTTAGTCCAGGACTTCATAAAGGACTTAAGGAGAACTAACAACTTATTTTTCAACACAAAAACTATAAGATGACAAATCATTAATAAATAGTTTTAAGAAAATAAACTGATAAAACCACTCCACACCATGGGTCTTGTTTCCTGCACACATTTTAGAGTCAACATATTTTAGGGAAATATTTTGGTTTTTGGTTTTTAAATTTTGGTTTAAGGCTTCATTTTCCCCCTTATAGAATGTGATATTCTATTCGCTATGAATATTAGCTTATAACGATAAATTTTTCTCATGTTTTTTGATGCATGATAAACAAATAGTATTAACATTTACTTGAAGATCCAATCATTATGTGAAATGGGTTTGTGTACACTGCACAATTGTTGTGTTCAAGTTGGGAAATTAACCGATTTTTAGGGTGTGAGAAGGATCAGAAAATGTTGGAAATTTCCCCGGTTGGAAGGGGGGGGGGGTCGATTATAAAAATTAAGAGTTTTCTGTTGAATTTGACTTTAAATGTTTCCTGTTTTGAAGACCACGGTGCTTGTTGTGGATAGTCTCCAGTGGACTATTCTCTAATACTCTTCTCCTCCTTCACCCTCGCCTTCGAGGCTGTCCATACCAACCTCCTCATAATCCTTCTCCAGGGCCGCCAAATCCTCCCTGGCCTCGCTAAACTCACCCTCCTCCATACCCTCTCCAACATACCTTCATAGATAAATAATTGTTTTGGAATATTTTACTCTGTTAGTACAGTGATAACCATAACACAATGGAATAAGAAGACGACATATAGTTTTGCTTATTGAATCACTAATTGAGTTAAATGGGTTTGATTACACTGCACAATTGGTGTGTCTCATGCTCATCGTCGACTTTTTACAGTTATAACTTGATTCGAAAAGTCGTCTTCCTATTTCAGAGTTTTCGTCACTGTAGAAACATTAACATATTGTGTTTGTAAGGTTTGAACAAAATTTCAGGGTTTTTAACCGAGCCCCCCAAAAAAGAAAAATCTTTTTAAATGATATGAGATCATTCTTGAGTGGGGCACTGCATTTTACGACGTCTCAAAGGGAAATTTCAAATTTATCAGAATTTTTTTTTTAATTGGTTAAAACACAATTTTTAGACTTTAAGGACAAAAAAAATAAAATTTCAATGAAAGAACTAAAATACCATGAATTCTAAATTTTATAAAAATAATTACATAATTACCAGTGAACGAAGGCCCTCTTCGCGTACATAAGATCAAACTTATGATCTAGACGAGCCCAGGCCTCAGCGATGGCGGTGGTGTTTGATAGCATGCACACCGCCCTCGGGACCTTAGCGAGGTCACCCCCGGGGACAGCTGTTGGGGGCTGATAGTTGATTCCAACCTAGGCAGGGAAAATATTGTTAAAATCCTCAAAATTACTTTAGAGTATTGTAACTTTTTGCCGTTTTTACTCAATATGCATACTGTACTCAAAATTACTTTAGAGTATTGTAACGTTTTGCCGTTTTTACTCAATATGCATACTGTACTCAAGTATTGTAACGTTTTGCCGTTTTTACTCAATATGCATACTGTACTCAAGTATTGTAACGTTTTGCCGTTTTTACTCAATATGCATACTGTACTCAAGTATTGTAACGTTTTGCCGTTTTTACTCAATATGCATACTGTACTCAAGGCCGACTTTTGTGAGACAAAGAGCATTTTGTAAAGTATGTACAGACTACAAGATAAATCATACCCTTCTAGTGAGATAAATGTCCTGAGAGTCAAATCATCGAATCAATCTTCATGTAGATAAGATGTTGGTAAAATTAATTTTAAACGATAAGCATACAAATATATTCGCAGGAACCCCTCAATATTTTGTTCAATCTTTACAGTCGTCTTACAAATTTTATTTTCACGCTTTTCAGATGGAGTACAGGGAGTACAGGGCAACTTTGGACATTGAATATTACGCTGATATGATAAGGTTTTCAGATGAAGTATAGGGAGTACAGGGCAACTTTGGACATTACGCTTTAATGATAAGGTTACTTCAAATCAACTCACCAATGCTTTTTGGATAGATTTTGAATGAATAAATAAATTCTTGTAAAAATATTATTAAAACAAATATGAAGGACTGTTGCATGACGGAATTAGGTTTATCACGAAAAAACAACTCCCAAACTAGAGCAATAGAGGTCAGGGGTAGGGGGGATCGAGGTAATGGAAGGTGTGTGGGGGGGGATTGACTCAGACCCAAATTATTAACTTTTCATGGGTTCCGAGTGACCTATTCCGAGTTACACTGCAAATAAGTATGGTGCCTTACCTTGAACCCTGTGGGACACCAATCCACAAACTGAATGGATCGCTTGGTCTTGATCGTAGCAATCGCGTTGTTCACATCCTATAATAGGCGATTATTTGAATACAAACAAATCATTAGTTGTAGAAATTGATTTATTAAATTCATTTGGGTATTCGGCCTAATTGAGATTGTAATGGTTAGAATAGGGGAATAATTATTCCTTATAAGTCTCTATTGGTGGTATATTCCCTCCAAATATAGTATAGGGGGGGGTGGGAATAAACCATGAGGAGGGAATAACCTATACTAACCTTAGGGACAACATCGCCTCTGTACAACATACAACAAGCCATGTACTTTCCGTGCCTACACAAAATAATTAATAAATTTTTACATAAACATTATTTGATGAATGTTTGCCTCAAGTTATGATTTTTTGAATAACTGAAATGATAAATAATAACATTGTAAAAATTGACATTTCTTGATTTGATGGTTTGGATTGATCACTGCTTATTACTATATACCTGGGATCGCATTTAACCATCTGATTTGCAGGTTCGAAGCATGCATTGGTGATCTCTCCGACACTCAACTGCTCGTGATAAGCCTTCTCAGCAGAGATTACAGGGGCGTAGGTTACCAGGGGGAAGTGAATCCTGATAAAAAGAAAGTTTAATTTAATGATCCTACTCCTTCTTTATTCCTTCCGAAGTACATAAACGCCTCTGAAGAACATAAATACCTCCAAAGAACATCCCTCCGAAATACATAAATTACTTCTAAGAACATGAATCCCCCCAGACTGAATGCTTCCCTCTTAAACACATAAATCCCTCCCAAGGACATAAATCCCTCTGAAGCACATAAATCCCTCCGAAGAACATGAATCCCTCCTACCTGGGGTAAGGAACCAGATTGGTCTGGAACTCGGTAAGATCAACGTTAAGAGCTCCGTCGAACCTCAATGATGCGGTGATACTGGACACGATCTGACCGATCAACCTGTTAAACAAGAAAACAAATAGAAAATTTATTTTCAGAAAAGTTTATGAAAGTTCACAACATTTTATGAAAATTCAGAAAATTTTATGAAATATCAGAAAATTTTATGAAAATTCAGAACAATTTACGAAAATTCAGAACATTATATGAAAATTCAGAAAATTCAATGAAAATTCAGAAAAATTTCTGAGAATCAGAAATTTTTATGAAAAATCAGAAATTTTTATGAAAAATCAGAAAATTTTATGAAAATTCAGAAAAGTTTTTGAATTCTACATTCTACGACAAGTAACACGAGTTGCAGAGAAAATTCTTTTAGTTGGTGAAATTAAGTTAAATCTATATTTTAGGTGATTTTACTTTTCCAGACCCATTTCATTTTACAAATAAATATTCAAGCTACAGGTAAAAATAAATTTGCTTAATAACAACATCAAATACACATAATATTGCATAAATGTCGTCTTCCAAATTTAAAGGGTTCTAAAAAAGGAAAGTTTTAAGAATAGATTTGACCAGGTCAAGAGCATGAGCATTACATTTAAGTCAATTAAAAGTAGGTTAATGGTTGTGTTAAACATTGTATTTTGCAATATTTTACACACATTAGACTTTTTTAGAAGCTCTTGAAATAGCATTTACTGATAAAAAAATATAATTCACTATGTATAAAATAGAATTCCTGCATGCTCGTGGTATCTGTTTAATTCTGTGGTTAAATTCACTATATATTGTATAAAATAGAATTCCTGCATGCTCGTGGTATCTCTTTAATTCTGTGGTTAAATTATTAAGTTGAAAATGTAAAGGAGTCTTATTTTAAATTATCCTTTAAAAAAACTGCTGAAAATACGAATAATCAATTTAAATGTTATGTAAATTTTTTGTTATTGTTATATTTTTTGTTATTGTTATTGTACAGTATTTAGTTTAGTTGACACCATCCTCTGTCTATTAATGAGTCGATCAGTTTCTCCATCTGTCCTTCTACTTATCTAATCACCTATTCAGGTTTGAGTAGGTTGGGTAGTCTAAATCCAAGTTCCTTTTGCATATATCGTAAATCGCCTAAATTCCGGCCATGTTCAATCTGCCGGCTATTCTCTGTTTGTAATATATGTTTGTGTTCGTAGTCTGGTTTGTCTGTTTTGTTACCTATTCAAGTTGGAGTAGGTCGGATAGTCTAAGTCGAGGTTTCTTCTGCAAATGTCGTAAATCGCCTAATTCCAAACCATGTAAATCTGCCGGCGGTATTATGGGTCCCGGCGGTATGTTAGTTACATGATGTGTCTGTCTAGTACCTGTTTAAATTTACATATGTTGGATAGTTCAAATCCAAGTTTCTTGTACAAATATCAAATATTGCCTAAAGTCGGGATATGACCAATCTGCCGACTTATATCAAGTGTACACGTGTGTATGTACCGTTCGTATCAATGTCCTGTGTTTATTTCCTATATGTACTGTTTTTATGTCCTATATGTACCTGTGTTTATTTCCTATATATGTCTGTGTTTATGTCCTATATGTACTGTGTTTATGTCCTATATGTACCTGTGTTTATGTCCTATATATGTCTGTGTTTATGTCCTATATGTACTGTGTTTATGTCCTATATGTACCTGTTCAAATTGGTGTACGTCGGATAATCTAAGTCCAAGTTTCTTTTGCACATATCATAGATCGCCTTTCCAGCAATCACATGGCTATCTGGCTTTTAGTTTTTAGCAAGGACATTAGGAAGTCCGTGATTCTAGTATCCGCCCCCTTAGGCTCAAAAAAAAGGGGAGGAAAAGGCTTTAAAAAATTGCTTTAATCTTAAAGGGACTGTCATGTGACCTGCGCATTTATGCAGCAGAGACAAGGAAAAAAAATTGGAAAAATTACGTTATATCTCAATTCAAAATTATGTTGAAGGACAAGGAACATGTCGGAATTTTTTTCCACCTTCTTTCAACGATTTGCAAAAACTTAGGGACCCTTTATAGGGTAAAAACAATTCAAAACAATTCTCCTAGGACTGTCTGAATTCATGGACTCCTAAAATATTGTCGGGTACACTTAGCATCCCTGTTTGTCAGGCTGTATATCTGTCTGTTCGTTTACCTGTTAAGGTTTGTGTACGTGGGTCTGTCAATATCAAGATTTCGACGGCAGATGTCATAGATTGCCTCATTATCGACCATGAATGCGCAGTCGGAGTGCTCGAGGGTGGTGTGGGTCGTCAGGATAGAATTGTAGGGTTCCACTACAGCAGTCGCAACCTAAATATCAACCAGTCCAACATCTTTGTAGGATTCCATCTTTTTTGTTGATATTTTCAGGATTAATTCTAAGTTTATAAATAGGAATTTTTAGTTTTCAGTATAATTTAGTTATATTTCAGACCCCTGGATAGTGGATACCTGAGGTGCGGGGTAGATAGAGAATTCTAGTTTAGATTTCTTCCCGTAATCAACAGACAATCTCTCCATGAGTAGTGAGGTGAATCCGGACCCAGTTCCTCCTCCAAATGAGTGGAAGATCAAAAATCCCTGAAGACCTGTACAGGAATCCGCCAACTTCCTAATCCGGTCCAGGACCAGGTCAACGATCTCCTTGCCGATAGTATAGTGACCCCTGGCGTAGTTGTTGGCTGCGTCCTCTTTACCTGAAACCATTTGGAATAAAAACAAAAAGTAATTTTTGAGAAAAATATCGTTAAAACAACATAGACATTACAGACTTTAGACTAAGGTACTAAATGTGATCTATGTACTGTGTACTTTGTACTGTGTGTACTATTTACTTTGGACTGTATGTACTGTGTACTGTATGTACTGTGCACTGTATGTACTGTGTACTGTATGTACTGTGTACTGTATGTACTGTGTACTGTATGTACGGTGTACTGTGTGTACTGTGTACTGTGCGTCCTATGTACTGTGTATACTGTTTACTATGTACTATGAATACTGTGTACTATCTACCATTTACTGTGTACTATGTACTGTGTACTATGTACTGTGTACTATGTACTGTGTAATATGTGTGTACTGTGTACTATGTGTGTACTGTGTACTATGTGTACTGTGTACTATGTGTACTGTGTACTATGTTTACTGTGCACTATGTGTGTACTGTGTACTATGTGCTGTGTACTGTGTACTATGTGCTGTGTACTGTGTACTATGTGCTGTGTACTGTGTACTATGTGCTGTGTACTATGTGTGTACTGTTTACTATGTACTGCATAATCTGTTTAATGTTAACTGTGTACTGTGAACTATAAACTGTGAACTGTGAGCATTTATGTACTGAATACTGTGTAAACTGTAAACTATGTACATGTGTACTGTGCACTATGTACTGTGTACTGTGTGCTGAGTACTGTGTACGGTGTACTGTGTACTGTACCTGTAATAAGTTGTTCTGGGTGGAAAAGTTGTCGATAAGTTCCAACTCTTACTTCATCAACTACAGTTGGTTCAAGATCAACGAAAACAGCTCTAAAAATTCAACAATACAACCCTTTTTTTAAATGGGGAAGATTGTCCGTATTCATCAAGAAAAAAATGTATTTTGTAGCCTGTGAAGAACATCTGACTAATTTGGAAGTTGGAAGTCGAGAAAAACTCTTGTTTTAGTGTCAAAAGTCGACCCAGTCGAAAGTTTGTCCCAGAGGTTGGGAAAAACTCTGAGGAAAAAAACTGACCTTGGAACATGTTTGCCGGCTCCAGTTTCTGAGAAGAAAGTACTGAAACTATCATCTCCTGCCCCAGCTGTCTTATCACTGGGCATCTGACCGTCAGGCTGGATTCCTGAACAATTTCACAATTCATCAACTTTTTCTTCTTTATTTTGTTGTATGCGTTTTTGAAAAACATGATAAAAAATGAAATTTGACACTTTGGGAAAACAATTTCATCATTTTGTTCTCCAGTAAATGGTGTTTCATGATTTCATGACAATAATCTTTAATTATGTTTAATAAAGCTCAGACAAAAAGAGAAATGTCAACCATAACGATATCAACAATAACAATATTTTAAAATAATATTCTGGCAACCAGCCTGTCCAACGTGGATAGAAATACATTCCCTCTAAACAGGAAATAAATTAATCAATCAATCAATTAATCAATTAAACTTGGTCAAGTGGAAACATAATTTCTTCTAATTCAGGATTTTTCCAGATTCTGGTTCAGACACTACCTAGTACCTACCCAGGCAGTAATTATTATTGATTAATTTTAAAAACTTAGTTAAAATCAAAAAAGATGTTTTGTAAAACTGATGGACAAATTGTCACTGCAAACAAAAATTTGTTCTTTAATTACTCAAAAAACATACATTAAACCCCCACCTTAAGGTTTTTTCTACATTTCCTACAATAAACACCCCCCCCCCACTTCAGGTGCTTTCTACATTTCCTACATTAAACCTCCACCTTCAAGTGTTTTCTACATTTCTTACATAGTATTGTCCTTAAGAGGGGTTCTATAGTATTAATAATAATTTCACAAGTTTTAATTTCGGGCAAATTTTACAAAGATTTTTACTTTTAGATTTTTTCTTTTTTAAGAGAAAGAGGGGTGGTAGTCATTTCCCTCCAAAGAAAATCCCCAAAACACTGAAAAGTTGCATTACTTTACAAGACTGATTCGATATTGAAGTGGTCTTTGATTTTACCTACTAACTCAAATCTACTTTTTCCTAGCACTAAACATGTGCATGTTAGAACTGTGAAGCATTTGATTTAGTTTTGGGTTTTAAGAAGTAATTGGCAAAAGTCTCATAGATTTTTTCATGAGAGCTTGAACCTTCGGATAACTGTAAATATCCTATAATAGCATTCAGTTTTTTTTTTATCAACTAAAGATTTGAAAAAGTTTTTAAAAAATGGCTCTTACATTACTTAGTTTAAACTTTTTTTTTTAATATTTATTAAGTTTGAATAAATAGTTATTCTTGTTGAAAATGACCTTAAAACAGAAAATGTAAGTCACGAATCCTTAGTAATTCGTTAATAATTTATGTTTAAGTTTTTACTTTACTTTTAGAGTTTATAGGCTTAGTTCTAGGAAAAAAAGGAATGGAGGACGGGAAGGGAGAAGGCAAGGGGGGGGGGGGG